AATAATAATGCCAATATATTAACGGTAGTAGAACAATGAGAATGGAAACAATAAGAATGTTGGTGCCAACTGAAGACTGCAACCAATGTCGGTGAACATCATGTGTAGAAACTGTTCAATGAGAACATGTATTGATTGTTGTGTAGACTTTCAACAAAAAAACAATAAAATAGATATTTAATAGATTTTAAATAACAATGGCCAAATAAGCAGAAAGAAAGCCAAGAGGGGTGTCTTAAGAGACTACATGGACAGTAGTTTAGGAAGGAAGTGATCAATCTTGTCAAATGCTGCTGTAGGTCAAGCATAATAAGAAATGAAAACAATCAATGATTTTGGCAACATTGAGTTTACCAATGTAAAAGCTGTTTGTTTGGATTTAGTGAGTAATAGAACCAGTAACTGTAGGTTCAATAGAGACAGAGAGAAGAGAAAGTGACCACCGAGAACATAGACAACCCTTTTAAGTAGTTTCATTCATTATAATAGGCAGGAGAGAAACAAAGCAATAACTGACAGTAGAATATAGCATGTAATTATGAGGCAAGAAAAATGAGTATGCTGCAAGAAGGAATAATGAAAGAACAGGCAACAAATGGAGTGACTGGTGTTAGGTAGCAGAGAAAACAGTTCACTCATAAAAACTGGTGGGAAGATGTGGCTGTGGAAGTTCTCTTCTGATTATCTTTCCTCTCAGTGACACAGGAAGGAAGAGCAATAGGTTAGAGTGAAGATGGAGAAGAGGACTTTGGAAGCTTGAAAACAAAAGTGAAAGAAAAGGATATGAAAGAAGTCATCAGGAGAGTAGAAAACTGAATGAACTAAGTTCCCCATTAGATTTTCATCTAATGTAATGAAATACAGAATAGCTATATGTTGTTGTTGTTAGGTGTCATCGAGTCGGTACCGACTCATAGTGACCCTATGCCCACGCTTGAGCCCATTGATGCTACCACTTTACCAATCCATCTCACTGGAATTCTTTTTCTCTGACTCTCCACCTTACCAAACATGATATCCTTCTCCAGTGACCTAGGGGATGTGATAGTACAGCTTACACTAATGGCCTGCTAATCATGAATTTAACTGAGACCAGCCAACATAATTTTGTTTCTCTCAGGCTATATTCAGTTGTGTAGTGCATGTGTTGTTGTTGTTGTTAAGTGCCCCTGAGTCAGTTAACTGCTGTTGAGTCAATTCCAACTTATAGTGACCCTGTATAGGATTTCCAAGGAGCAGCTGGTGAGCTTGAACCACCGACCTTGTGATTCAAACTGACTTTGCAGTCCAGAGTATTAACCCACAGCACTACACCAGGACTCCTTAGTGCATGTACAGACTAGGAAATAAATGGACTTAATGAAGGTTAAGGAGTTGGTAGCGAAGAGGGGGACAAAGGAGTACAAGTCATATGCAAGAAAATTATAATAATGGATCATAGAACCTAAGTTGGATAAGGAAGCAAGTAGGAAAAAAAAAAGACAGTGAAAATATTAGGTAGAGTCAAGTAATGAGACTGAAGAATTCCTGGACTGGTGAATGAAACACCTGGAATTGAAACAACAGAATGATACAGCTATTATAAATGATAAAGTCTATAATATGGTCATAGGAGTGGGCAGCTGGGGTAGGGATGAAAGACAAAATTATTTGTGGCAAGGAAGTAAGGAACAGTGAAATCACCAAGAATTCTGACAGGAACAGTGGTGAAGAGAAATGAGCCAGGTGCACCTCATAAGATTGCAATTAAAAGAGAGGCTATCTGCACTGTTCAAGTGTTACTATATTAGTTTTGCCCCTACTACCTGTTCTTTAAGGAGCTCTGGCAGCGCAGTGGTTCCGAGTCAAGCTGCTAACCTCAGGGTCAGCAGTTCGAAACTACCAGATGTTCCCCGGGAGAAAGATGAAGCTTTCTGCTCCTGTAAAGATTTACAACCTTGGAAACCTTATGCATGGCCTCTATGAGTGGCAACAGACTCCACGGCACACCACCACCACCACCCGTTCTTTGGTACAGCGTGAATCAGTAAAGTGTACTGCTGAAGAATGTAACAGAGCTATATTTACCTATCCTAGTGTGCTCTGGTAGCATAGTGGTTACGAATCGGGCTGCGAGCCACAAGTTCAGCAGTTCAAAACTACCAGCTGTTCTGCGGGAGAAAAATGAGGCGTTCTGTTCCCGTAAATATTTACAGCCTCGAAAACCCTGTACAAGGTCGCTATGAGTCGGAACCGACTCAACGGCACTTAACAACAACGACAACAGTGTGGCACTGTGGGGTAATGTGCTGGACTGCAAGGTTGGTTTGAACAGCAAGGTCTGTGGTTCAAGCTCTCCAGGCACTTCTCAGAAATCCTACAACAGGGTCGCTATGAGTCAGAACTGATTCGACAGCACATAACAACAACATACTCAAGAGATTATCCTAAAAGAATTAGTACATGAATTCTCTTTTCTTGGCTCTTCAAGTTTAACATTCAGGCTATGATGTTATTTGCAAATACAAGATTTATTGAGTTCTATGTTGAGATTACAATCTAGTGTTTTAAGAACAGGATATTCAGTGGCAAATAACAAAGAAGCTTTTTGTTTAGTGTTCACAATATATACTCAGTAACATAGTTATTACTAATTATTATGTTATATTGAAGCTACATCCATCTAAAAGTCATCAACCATTTATAGGTCTTTACTTTGTACTTGCATAATGGGCATAGTTACTGCCCTCAGAGAGCAATGAAAACACACAGTAATAATGACAAAGGCTACACTGGTGCCAAAAAGAATACCAGTAATTGTCTTTTTCATTTAATTTCAAATAATGATACATTTTTCCTGTCTTACATGAAAAACAAGACATAATTTTAGACTAATATTCTATTTTTTAAAAAATATGGCAAACACAAAATTTTATTTCTTAAAACACTTTAGATTTAGAATAAAACTTTAACTGAAGCCTAGCTACCTCCCACCAAAGCAAAATGACTATACATCAAACAATTGTATTTTGTGTTACAAATTACTTACCCAACATTGAAAACGAAAAATGTATGGAGTCATCAAGTGATTTCTATTTCCCTTTAAACGTATCTTTCTTGATGCTATGTGTTGTTTGTACAGTAATTAAAAACGAAAAACAACTTACCCTTCGGTCAGCAGCTACAAGTCTAAATTCCTGTAATAACTTGCCAAAAAAAGACCTTTGTGGTTTTCGAAAAAGATGAATTGTCCCCTTTAAAAAAAAAAAAGAAAGAATATTTTTTAAAGTATTTAATCTTCCTCATAGTTCCTCTGATGTGATTCAGTAACAACAACATTTAGTGAGTGCTCAATATGTGCCAAGTACTTATCCTAGACACTTCATATGTGATTAGTGATTTAATACGTCAATCCTAGAAGGGAAAAACAATTTCTGATAAATTTCAGAAGGTAAAAAACCTAATATTTAAGTAGGAATTTTAACCCAGGCATTTTAGATCCACACCACACTCTTTGTTTTTAAAAAATAGGCAATTTTGAACAATTGAAAGAAATACTTTGCCAAATAGCTCTCCTGGAAAGGAAATACCACAATTTAGTAACCAAAGCAACAGGTAAGAAAGTTCTGGCATTATTATTTTGAAACCTGTGAGATTTTCTATTCAGCATTCTGTCAAGGTATTTAACATTCAAGGAATGTTCATTGGCTTCTGCTGTACATATAGTATGGCGCTAGAAGAGAAAGGGCCTAGCAGTGGACTTATCAAACAAATAAAGATTTGGAATGCTAACTAAGATTAGCAGAAAGGAGGTCAATGACATATAAGAAATTAGCTTATGATTCCCCAAATCAGTGAGGGAAAATATGAGATACTCAACTAAGTAGTGTTTGGAAAAAGGAAATATTGAAACCTTATTATGTTCCTTAAGCTAAATTAATTTTTTACTTTTTAAAAAAAGTTTAATTAAACAGAGTTCTTAAAGCATGGATATATAATTTTATAATCTTGGCTCTGAAGAATTTCTTAATACGATGCAAAACCAAGAAGTTGTAAAGGAGAAAAAAAGGGATCAATTTTAGTATGTACTTTCACATGAGAATAAAATACTAAGTTGTTGTTAAGTGCCGTCGAGTTGGTTCCAACTCATAGCAACCCAGTATAGGGTTTCTGAGGAGCAACTGATGGGTCTGAACTGCCAATCTTGTGGTTTACAGTCTAGTGCTGATCCACAGCACCACACCAGAAGTCCAAAATATTCTTATATGTACAAAAAAAATTTTTTTTTAGCTCCTGTATAATTGTTTTATTGTTCAGTGCCATCAAGTCATTTTGAACCCACAGCGGACCTGTATAGGGTTTCCGAGGAGCAGCTGGTGGGCTTGAACCGCCGCCCTTGTTGTTCAAACTGACCTCATGGTCCAGCACATTATCCTGCAGTGCCACACCAGGACTCCTGTATAATTGTTGTTATTGATAAGTGCCGTCGAGTCAGTTCCGACTCATAGTGACCTTGTATAGAGTTTCCAAAGAATGGCTGTTGAGCTTGAACCACGAACCTTGCAATTCAAACCGACCATGCAGTCCAAGATATTAACCCATAATGCTACATAATTAGTACCTACCAAACATTTGATAGATAAAAAAGAGGGCATATCCCATTTCTCCAAAGCTTAAGAATATCATTTTGTTGTTGTTGTTAAGAATATCATTAGTTGCAAAAAAAAAAAAGGATGGACACTAGAAATTTGATGCTTCAAAAATGGCATATAGGGGGACTTCCAGCAAGATGACAGACTAGGGAGACACATTACATGGCCCCTCTACAACAAAGATATGAGACCAAATGAAACTAACACAGATGAAAATCCCGGAACCCTGAACTTTGAAGGAAAGGATTGAGTGTTTGCCGGGAGAAGATGAGCAGGGATGGTGAGAGAGGGAGACAGACTGGTGAATGGCTGGCCAGACTCAATGCAACATCTTGTGAGCAACTTTGGCCACAGAACATGGATTGACAGGGCTGACCCATGCAGGTGAGTGGAAAGGTGTGATTCCTTTCTTTTTCCCTCCCCTCCCCTGGTGATCAAAGGTGTGGCCAGCTCCCACTCTCATCTACCTCCAGCAAACTCTATTCTCCAGGAGTTTGGAGCCACATAAGACGGGGGCCAGCCCAGCCGCTTGGTAACCTTCTTTGGTGCTTGTATTCAGGTGCAATCAACTCCAGACCTACAGTCCCGGCAAAGTCACCAGACCAGCATTTAAACAGTCACCTGCCCTAGTTGCCCTGCAGTCCTAACAGACAATGAAGCTAGCTCCATCAAGGGCCTCCACAAACTACTTTTAATTGAGAACCCTGAACACAGATAATACCAAGGCCAATAGGAACTCCATCTACAGCCAGAAACTCTGCTGTCATATCCCTCCCATACCCACCTCAAGAAATCCTTAGCCTACAGGAGCCCCCCACAAGAATTTTCTCCTGTTTTTTTGTTTGTGTTACACATTTTCTTGTTCATTCTCTTTCCTCCTTCTTCTACGCTATCTATTCCCTTGAATATTATCCATTTTATCTCCATTGTTGTTTTTCCTTCTTTTCTTGTTTCTCATTTCCCCTCTTCTATTTTTTTGCTTTTGATATTTCTTTACTGTTCTCTACTGTCTTTCTCTTTATATCTTCCCTTTCTCTGGTTTTTCTAAGTGTTTATTTTTATTATTATTTCTTCCTTTTATTTCCTCTTTTAATGTTCTCTTATAGCTCCATTTTCTGGTTCCTCTTTTCTCTTTTTTTGGTTATTTTTAAGTGCTTATTTATTTATTCCTTTATTTTCTCTTCTATAGCTCCATTTTCCTGTCCTTCTTTGGTCTTTACACTTACATTGTTTTTCCTAGTTGCTGTGTGTTTTTTCCCCCTCTATATTATTTTCTCTTTTCATTGTTGACTCCTTGTTATACTCTTTTATTTTCTTGGGGGCAGAGGGGCAGGGGTTTTCTCTTTCCCATCCAACAGGAGACAGCAACCGTGACCTACAGACCAGTCACAACTGTATCCTTCACAGCTCCACCCACTGTGCAAGAGCCAGTACCAGGTCCTATTCCACCTGATCATGATAGACAGCAGCCAACACCAGCCAAACCCACCCTAAAATGAGGTATATGAACAGCAAACATAGACAGTATACATGTTTCTATTCTCTAACTACAAACACAGGAGACAGTTGGTGAGAGCCTAAGAACACATGTTGTTGTTGTTAAGTGCCATCAAGTCGGTTCCGACCTACAGCAACCCTGTTTAGGGTTTCTGAGGAGCGGTTGATGGTTCAAAGTGACTTCGCAGTCCAGAGCATTAACCCACAGTGCCACATATGATTATCAATTAACTACAAACACAACAATCCTACAATGCCCCAGAGACAACAGACAATTTTACCTCAAAAGAAGAGAAATAAGAGAATGGCTCAACCAAATGACCAAGATACAGAGCCAGAAAACATTTCTGAGGAAGAAAAGTTTAATGGAACTAAACTAACTGAAAAAGAATTCAATGGAATGGTATTTAGGTACCTTCAAAGGACTAATAGAAAGATCAAGGAAAATGAGAACACAATAAAAACTTTAGAAGAAGTCAAGAAACTACTATAAGAACAAACAGACAAAATAAATGCAAATTTTGAAACAATACAAAACCTGCAGTTAGACATTCAAAAGTTAGATTTCAGAAATGGATAATACATTGAAATGGCAAAGGAATAGATTCAAAGCAATGGAAGCCCAAATTAATGAGCTTGAAGACCAATCTCTCAATACTAGTAGTTAGAAGAACAATCAGAAAAAGAGTGAAGAAATCCAAAGAAAGCCTAAGAATTATGTAAGATACTAGGAAGAAGAACAATTTACGGATGATTGGAATTCCAGAAGAAACAATAAAATGCACAGAGAAAACTGTCAAAGAATTATTAGAAGAAAACTTCCCTAACATCATGAAAGATGAGAAAATAAGCATTCAAGAATCTGAACAAACTCCAAATAGGATAGACCCCCAAAGAAAATCACCAGGACCTATCATAACCAAACTCTCCAAAACCAAAGACAAGCAAAGATTTCTGAGAGCAGGTTGGTAAAAACAAGTTACCTATGGAAGCATAAGGAGCTCTGGCAGCATAGTGGTTACAAATTGGGCTGTGAACCGCAAGGTCAGCAGTTCGAAACTACCAGCTGTTCTGCAGGAGAAAGATAAGGCTTTCCGCTCCCATAAAGATTTACAGCCTCAGAAACCCTACACAGGGTCACTATGAGTTGCAACCAACTCCACAGTTGATAACCACCACCATGGCACTATAGGATAAGTGCTTGACCTTAAGGTTGATTTGATCCACAAGGTCATCAGTTCAACTCACCAGTCACTCCTCAGAAACCCTATACAGGTTTGCTATGAATCATAACCAACTCAACAGCACTTAACAACAACAACAAATAATAGTAAACAATGATTTTTCAGCAGAAACCATACAGGCAAGAGGGCAATAGGATGACATGTATAAAACACTGAAAGAAAAAACTTGCCAATCAAAAATTATATACCCAGCAAAGCTGTCCCTCAAATATAAGGGCAAAATTAAGACATTTATTGATAAACAACAATTAAAGGAATTTATAATGACCAGACCAACTTTACAAAAAATGCTAATGGGTGTTCTTTGGACTGAGAACCAACAACAGCAGACAACAACCTGAGATTATCATACATGACAGCACCACCCAGAAATTAATCCAGATACAGAAGTATTAAAAGTAAAGCAAACTTACAGGAAGGAAAATAGGAAACCAGAGATATCAATTTATAATGATGTCAAAAAGAGCAAATCATGTAGATACAAAACATTTACAAGGCAAGGAAAGCAAGTACTTTTCAAGATAAAACAGACTGTTTTAAATAGGGAAAAATATTAATAAATTACAGGGTAACATTAATGAAAATGAATACACTGGCACATCAAAAATTTTAAAAAAGGAAAATCAGAAAGATTTAGTAAACATTAACACAGCACAAATGAAAATGCATAGAAAACTCACAAACAAAATGAACTCAGCACAGAAAATTACATGGAACAGAATCAGCAAAATAAGGAAAAATTACAGCAATCAATTCACACCTATCAGTAATCACAATGGATGTAAATGGATGAAATGTACCGGTCAAGAGACAGAGAGAGGAAAATGGATTTTAAAAAACACAAAACAAGGATGCTTCAATATGTAGTCTACAAGAGACACATCAAAAAGATGGAGAAAGCCTAAGTGCTCAGTAGAATGGTTAAACTTTGGTAAGTACACACAAATGGAATACTATGCAGTGTTGAAGAATAACAATTCATCTATGAAACACCATAAAACATGGGTGGATGAACCTGGAGGATGTTATGCTGAAATTAGTAAATCACAAAAGGGCAAATATTTTATGAGACCAATGTTGTAAAAGGTTAGGAAAAAGTCTTCATTATATTCTACTTTGGTATGTTTGGAATTTTTTTTCATAATAATCAGTTATGAAAATATAAGTAAAAATATTTTAACATGTTATAAAAAAATCATTGGAAAAAGTATTGTTGTTAAGTGCCGTCAAGTCGATTCCGACCCATAGTGACCCTGTATAGGGTTTCCAAGGAGCAGCTGGAAGCACCCATTAACAACACCAATTGTATATTTATTATTAAGAACAGTATGTCCAAGGCCACTAGCTGCTCTATGGGAAAAAGATGAGGCTTTCTGCTCCTGAGATTTACAGCCTCAGAAACCTTATACAGGGTCGCTATGAGTCAGAACCAACTCAATGGCACCAACAATCACCAAAGGATACCCTTCATCTAGTCTTCTTGCAGTACAAATTAATTTTTTACTAATTTCATTAATGTCAAGGACTTCCTATTTTCCAACATAACGTGTGCTTTGGACATACTGTTCTTAATAATAAATATACAATTGGTATTGTTAAATGCCATCAAGTCGGTCTCCACTCAGTGACCCAGTATAGGGTTTCAGAGGAAAGGCTGATGAGCTTGCATTATCTCCTTGCAGTATGAACCAACCTTGTTTTCCAGTGCTTATCTTTACAACGCTGATAGATGGCTCATAAAACTTTCTTCCCCATTACCCTAAAAAATAAGCCTTAAATGCTTCTATTTCCTTGTATTATTTTTCAAGTCTAAAAATTTGGTGCTATAATTTACTTAGTACTTCATAAAAAATATTTATTGAAAACTTTCCCTAGACCCAGCAGTGTACAAGGCTCTAGAAGAATACCAAACGGTGAACAACATAGGGCCCTGTTCTCAAAAAGCTTACAATCTAGTGAGGAGGAAGACAAGACAGAATTTTAGCACAGTCTTGGTGTGGTGCTGTAGGTTAATGTGCCAGACTACAAAGCTGTTTGAACTGCAAGGTTGGAGGTTCAAGCTCACCAGCTGCTCCTCGGAGACCCTATAGAGGGTCGCTATAGGTCGGAACCGACTCGACGGCACTTAACAACAACGACAGTAAGGACTCTAGATGTTATTAGTTAGTATAAAGTATTATAGGAGCCCAAAGAAGCGCAGCTAACTGAAACTTAAGATAGGTTGAAAAGACACTAACAGGTAAACATACTGAAAAGGATGGGGGAGCAGAGGGAGATGGGGAATCGTTCAGGTACATGGAATAGCATAAACAAATTAAGCAACAGCGCAATTATTTTCTTTCTTTTTTTTTTAATATACATGTTGTTGTTTTTTTAATGTTTTTATTTTGGATTGAGTGAAAATTTACAGGGCACATCATCAGCTTCACATTCAACCATTCATATAGCTTGTTTCATTACATTGATTATTATCCCCTCCATATATCACCAGTTAACAGTGTTTCTCTCTATCCTCTTTAGCTTTTTTTTTTGGGTGGAGGGGGAACTTGCCTTTTTGGAATTTACAGTCTCGGCTTTTAGGGAAGGTTTTTACATTTGTCTGTGGATATCCAGGGCTCATGTATGAGATTACTAACAAGCATTACTGAATAATCAGATGAGGGACAGTTTGCTATGTCTACTAGGTGGCTGAAGTCTGATCCTCAGAGCCTATGGTTTGGACGGTCAACAACGCTGGGGCCCACAGGGTCTTGACCTCCTGACCGGGTCTGCACGGTCTAGCAGCGCAATTCTTGAAGTATGTTCTGTTGCTCGCTGTTGTTATTGTTAAGTGTGTCAGTCGGTTCCGATTCATAGTGACCCTGTAAAGGGTTTCTGAGGCGCAGCTGGTAGATTTGAATCACCGACCTCGTGGTTAGCAGTCCAATGCTTATGCTACAGCGCCACACTGGAATATAAATGCTATGTGTGTGCAAAAGAAAACTGCAAAGTTAAAAGCTTGACTCTGAATGGCTTTGTATCCCATGTCAATCAGGGTTTTACCATTTGGGCCATAGAAAAAAAAGGAAGGATTGTAAGCAAGGGAATAATATTAGTCATGTTTTAGGAATATCACTGTGGCTACACAGCAGTGAAGGTCTAGAAGAGCATATCTGCAAAGTTATCTGATAATTAGCCAAGAAATTCACCCACTTTCTCTGTGTAGAAGGATTACAGAAAATTTACAGTTGACAAAGAGTGTGTGATGGAAGTATCTTCCCGACCATATTCACTTAAATCAGTAACTTAGGCACAGAAACGTCAACCCTTTCCAGTATGGAGGCAATCAAAGAAGTGCTGGTGAATGCCTCTGAAAAATACATTTGAAAAGATACACACAACTTATGACACTGAAAATCACAGCTAACTACATATTTTACACTTGATTTAAGGCATACAATGATTAATTCTCTAACAACACTTTAAGACAACACCACATGCCAACAACCACAAGTATACTGGGATCATCCACGGATTTCTACAAACAGAAATAAGCGACAGTAAGACGGTTCTGCCAATGCCTGGACTTTCTTCCGTCTTGCTCGTTCTGTTCTGTAAATTGCAGCCGTATCAGGTACCAGATCTCAGTGAAGCCAAGTTGCTGAGAGGAGGTATTTGTCTTAATAACCTACTCATAACCCTTTCACCCTCGGCGTTGTTATTACTGTTCTATCCGTGGTTCAAGCTCACCAGCTGCTCCTTGGAAACCCTATACAGAGTCGCTATGGGTTGGAATCGACTCAACAGCACTTAACAACAACCATCACTATTACGGTTGTTGTTGCTGTGGACTTGTTTCCAGATCTTTTGCTGGTGTTGCAGTCGCTGATGCTGGCAATAAAAATGATAATAAATGACTTATTTTATATCAAGGAAACTCAGCAAGACGGCATAAACTCGTCTGGAGCTGAAAGCTGAGCCTCGAGGGGGCCCGAGCAGCAAAGCAAGCCCCTGAGAAAGAGAGGGGGCATCAGAGCTCTGGGGTGAACCTTTCGAGAGACAGCCGCTTGCTTCCACAGGGGGCATGACCGCAAATCCGACAATCCCTCGTTTGGGAGTCAGAGGCATTTCAAGGCTGCCTTGGAACGAATGAAGAAAAGAGGATCGCGCACGACAGCTAACCCCAACCCCGAGCCAACTCACCATGATAAGGAGCAACCCAGCTCCTGCCGGAAGACGAGTTTCTGGGGGCGCGTTTTTTCTCTGAAACGGAAGGGGAGGAGCATCACAGGTCGCCTGACTGAAAAGAACTAGAAGGCGGAAGTGAGTGTTCTGGTCTCTTAAGTCCTGCCTCTCTTCCCGGCTCCCCTTGCGTCCTACACAGGCAAAGGCAAATTTGGAACCGTCCTTACAGGGACCACTCTGGGTTCGTTGGAGTGGGAAGCACTAAGGCTTTTGACAAGGAGCAGTAAGGTTTATTTACTTATGTATGTTGTTAAGTGCCATCAATCAGTTCCAACTCATAGTTACACTGTATAAGGTTTCCGATGAGCGACTGGT